ATATGATTTTCATCTGTTATTCGGGTCCTGTTTGTCGATGATAGTTTTTCCATTTATGTCTGTGATCCTTAACGGTTGCCACTTCTTAAAGGTTCCAGTTGTTTTGCCTTGTCAGCTTCTTTTTCGTTGGCTTCCCTAATCCTTCTCCGAAGCTGTGTCTGAAACTTTTTCACATTTTTTGTTGTTTTTGACTGTTCTTCTATACTCTATCTTCTATGCCTCTATCGGTGTTTAGTCCCAATTTTTTTCAGTGTGTTGTGTACTGTTTTAACCATTTTGATCTATGTTCGATTTGTTTCTTTCGGTGTTTTTGGGGATATTTGATTGTGTTTTGACGCGCCAGTTTCTCCCCATCTTTTATCTGTTTTGTACGATAACTTTTTAATACACTCACACTTTAATACAAAAGGGTTTTTTTGATTGGACATTATTCATTGCTGGTCGGTAACTTTATACCGGTTGTAGCCCATTCGTTATTAGAGTTAAGCAATTGAGATCTTTGTATTATGGACCCAGACACAACGACCCAACGAACAACAGAAAATGAGAGATTGTTACAAGGCTGACAAAGATATTAGGCTCTAGTTTAGTTGGTTTTTAGCAGATTTTTACTCTATGTATTGACGGTGGCTCCCGATGACAAATTGGGGTAAGCACGCATATGTATATTCGCATCATACAAACGGAACGAATTAAAACGACGACATATTTATCTGCAACGCATCTTCAGAGATGTCTTAAGAATTATCAGTTATTCAATAATTTTCATGCGAATTTTGTTAGAAAACCGAATGAAGTTCCTCATCGTCGTTCTGATTGTTCGCCCGTTATGAGAAATTTTCTGAAAATTTGGCCACTTTCTACTATTTTTGTTTCCGTTTTCCGTATGCAACGAACGTGCCATGAACCATGAGTGTATGCAGTGTAATTCAAGGTTGGCGCTAAATTATTTGCAGACTGCCTCGTTTGAAGCTGCTGCTTTGTACGTGGCGAATGCATCAAGTTCGAACGTAGTAACGCGTAGGCTATCTTGTCCTCTCATAGACTTCTGTGTGTACGAGTGAGACGACTGATGCCAGCAACGTTCGCGAATGTTGAAATTAGTTTTATTTGGTTGATTCCAATGAGAGTGTGAGCACCCGGACGGAACAATTTTTTGAAGATGCTCGTCTTGTGTGCTAGTAAAACGTTGAGACTGAAAGTAGGTGAGTGTATGAATATTTATTTTTATTCGTTCCGTTCGTCCGATGCCAACCAAATTCGCGCTTTTCTTCAATCGTCTAAGAACAAACCCGGGTTAGTGAAATATGCATGTATTGACCCAAATGTGCACATTTATAAGTGGAATTTTAAATGTATGTTATTTACAAAAAAAACTGTTTTTTCTGCTCTTCCTTTTCCTGTCCTACCATGAAATCGCCTGCAATTGCTTTATTTGCAATCGCAAAAAGTTATAAGAAAAATCAATTGCTGCTGTTGCTGTTGCTGCTGCAGCTTGAAACATCTAAGATAAGCGCGACTTAGAGTCGTCTCTAGAAAATGAATAGTAGCGTCTCATTTGCATCGCTTGCGGCAAGTTTCCCGAGCAATAGAGTGGGATTTGGAGGTAAGTATATGCCTTTCAATCAATACATTATTTCGCGTGCATTTGCTAGGTAAATAATGACTAAAAGCGCTAAAATGTGCGAAGAATAATTAGGCAAAAAGGGTCCAATTGCCTGGTGCTATCGTCGCAAACATCATTCATACTTGTAGGGCAGGTGAGACGCGTCCTGCTATTAATCCGCATTTTGCAGATGAATTGCTTCATTCATTTTAATTTCGATAATTAAATTAATAGTGGGAAATGGGTGAAATGGCACTGGATGGCGCGGAGAGTGAATAACTTGGAAAGTGCACAAATTAGCCTAAGTACGTACTCAAAAAATACCGTAATCAGGCCTCGGATTCCGGACGCAAAATTGGACAATCGCAATGGAAAAGGACATTGATTTTTGGTACATTTTGTGCTAGCAAACTTTTCCTCATTGGCCTCCATCCATTGCATTAATCCTTATTTAAATATTGCATTATTCGAAATTAAGTAAGTACTTTGTTGGAACTGAACGACTAACAATATTTTTTCTAATTTCTAATAGACAACAAAAGACTGAATTTCTACTACTTGCCCCCCCCCCTGACTCGGAAGCTGGATCCGTCCTTGCATCGAACTCATTGAAAAACATACTAGGAGGTTCAGATCCGAAATAATAGACATTTGCATATTTGTGAGCTTCTTACGTCGAAAGGAATCGATTGGGCTCAAAAAACACGCATGCAAAATTTTGATTTTTGGCCGAAATTTTTTCTGGGGTGGGGGTCGATTTTTTGAAAAAATGAACATTTTCTCAAAATGTCCTAAATTTTACATCATTTTCAGCTCACGGAGGCGAGGAGTGCATCGAACTCATTGAAAAACATGCTAGAAGGTTCAGATCCGAAATAATAGTAATTTTTGGCACATTTTAAGCGGTTTTTGAGCGTTCACGATTTTTAAGTGACAATTTC